GAGAGGGGAGGGGAGGGGAGGGAAGGGGAGGGGAGGGGGAGTCGCCTCGCCTGTGGACTTGCCCTAACCACCCCGGCTCTGCCTCCCCTAGTTTCCTTGGACGGCCGTCCCGGGGACCGGGTGAATCTCTCCTGCGCAGGGGTCTCCCATCCCATCCGCTGGGTCTGGGCGCCCAGCTTCCCGGCCTGCAAGGGCCTGCCCAAAGGACGCCGCCCGATCCTGTGGGCATCTTCGAGCGGGACCCCCACCGTGTCTCCTGCCCAGCCCTTTGCCGGCCGCCTACGAGTCCTGGACCACCCGGGTATCCGGCGGCTAGAGCTGCTTCTGAGCGCAGGGGACTCGGGCACCTTCATCTGCAGGGGCCGCCACGAGGACGAGAGCCACACGGTGCTCCACGTGCTGGGGGACGCGGCCGACTGCAGGGGGTCCGGGCCCAGCCTGGGTAGGTCGAAGCCCCCGCGCGCAGGGGGACTTCAAGCGGACACCTCCCGACGGGGAGAGGGGCCTTGGCTGGGATTCCTGAGAGGGAGAGCTGGCTGTGTGCCTTCGAACCGCTGACCACGCCCTCCCCGCTCCCCCAGGGTCCGTGTATCCCCAGCTCCTGATCCTACTGCTGGGCGCCGGGCTGGTGCTGGGACTAGGAGCGTTGGGTGCGGTCTGGTGGCAGCGCAGGTGAGCTCGAGGGGCGCGGCCAGATGCGGGAGGGTTTCCGAAGACAAAAGCCAGATCTGGAGCCTTGGGGTGTGGCTCGGTTTGGAGAACAGGGGTGAGGCGACCGGCTGGTGGGTGGAGCCCTGGCTGGGGAAGCTCAGCTGAGGCAGGATCCGAGCGGGGAGGGAACCGCCCGTGGGGTGGAGCCTGCGTTCTCCTGCGGACCGAACCTGCCAGTCGCAGGGTGGTGGGGGGCGCGGCCTGGAGCCGCCGAGAACCAGAGAGACAACACCGGTGGCTCTTAAAGACGATGATTGTTCCACATCCCTGACAGGCGCGCGCCTCCACGCCCGCCGCGGCCACTCCCCAGATCTGGTGAGCCTAACCCCACCCTTTTCCTTTTCCTACCCGCACATCCCGACCCCGCAATTCCCGAGTCTGAGCCCTTGCAGGGAGCAGACAAGTTGGTCACCTTCTCTCAACCCTTCAGCTCTGTCCCCCTCACATAGTCCCACGAGTGAAAGCCGAGCCCCAGAGACCAGCAAAGCCCGAGGAGCCCAAGACTGCGGGGGACCTGGACCAGGAGTCGGTGAGGGCTTGGGGATGGGAGGACCCGGACAGGATCCCTGAGAAAATTGGACCGAGAGAGACAGAGGTCTGGATTGCTAAGGAATCAGACTTCCGAGACACTGCCCTCCTCCCCACCTTGCAGAGCCTGCTCTACGCAGACCTGGATCGTGCGGCCCTCAGCCAGCACTGCCGGCTGTCCCCAGTGGTCCCTGCTGACTCCTCCACCATCTATGCGGTTGTCGTTTAAAGGAAAGCCCTGACTCCAAACTTCACAAGCTGGGGGCTCCAGCTCTCCAGAACTGCCCTCTCCCTCTTTGACTCTCCCCAGAAAATGAAGGCACCATAGGATAGAAATGAGCACTAGACTGGGAGTCAGGAGACCTGGCTTCCAGGCTGTCTCTGCCACTGATCTTGCTCCTTCAGCTACCCCCTCCTATGCCCTCCATGTCTCCTTTACTACTGGTGCCCTCTCTCAAGCTCACTGAGACCGGTTTCCCATCTCAGCCCTCCAAGAGAGTCACTCCAGCTCTTCCCTCCCTTCCAGTCAGGCTCCTTGAACCAGGGGCTACACCTGTGTCCTCCATGTTCTTCTGCACTCTGCTCCCATGAGGCTGCCAGTGGGGTCCTAATGGCCACGCCCAGCAGACATTCTTTAGCATTCATCTGGCTTGGCTTTTGATTACTCCCTTCTTTAAGCTGTTTTTCTTTCTTTTTTTAAAAAAAATATTTTATTGATTCTTTTACAGAGAGGAAGGGAGAGGGAGAGAGAACTAGAAACATCAATCAGTTGCCTCCTGCACACTCCCTACTGGGGATGTGCTCGAAACCAAGGTACAAGCCCTTGACTGGAATAGAACCTCGGACCCTTCAGTTCGCAGGCCGACGCTCTATCCACTGAGCCAAACCAGTTAGGGCAAAGCTGTTTTTCATTAATGCTGATGTCTTCCTTCTGGACTCCTCTTCCTTTCTCCCTACTGCCATGGTATTCCCCACCATTCTAGGTTTGTCCCTTTATCTTCCTCTTCTGGGAAGTTATCCACGGTGGCCTCAGCCCTCACCTTGGCAAATGACACCCAGAACTCTCCAGCTCAGATGCCAGCTGAGGGATTTCCAAACCGTCCTCAGACACCCCTGTCTATCTGGCCCCACACATTGTCATACAGCATGTCCAAGACTCATCATCATCTCCAAACCTCTCACTCAATCCTCCTCTGTATTCCCTCTTGATCAACCCTCTTGCCCAGGCCAGAAACTGAGTCATGCAGCATCCTTCCTGTCACACAAGGAACCAAGTCCTTCTGTTCTATTTTAACATCACTGTCAAATCCACACCCTTCTTCATGCCCAGCACTGCCACCTGAATGTATGCTCATTTCCTGGATTACCCAGAAACCCACCTCATCCTTTTTCCCTTGCCCTCCTCCCCGAAGGCAGGTAGATCCTCCCCAAATACTAACTTACTTCTGACAGCCTATAGTTCACATCTGTAGTATTTCCTTCCCTAAGCGCCAGCCTGGCCCAGAGGCCTTGGCTTTGGGTACACAGAACTGCAGCACTCTGTCTCCTTTCTAGGTTTATGCCTGTCACATCACATACACACACCAGCCTTGGAGAAATCGCCCACAGGCCCCAAGTGCTGTATGCCTTTGGTGCTAAGATGCCTTCTTCATGGACTACACTTTTCCTTCCTCTCCACTACCTGCCTGGCTGGTTCTTACTCATGCTCAGGACTCAGTTCAAGTGCAGCCTTCCGGAAGCCGTTCCCGATCCCTTGCCACACTGCATACATTCTGATGCCCTGGGAATCCCCTTGTTTCTCTCATAGCAATAGCCCCTGTGACTTGTTCCATTACAGCCTGTCTTTCTGTTTGAAAACAATGTTCAAGAATTGTGAGTTCCCTGATATCAGGAGATGGCCCTTTTCATAGCACTGCTAAGCCTCAGTAAATGAGTCAACAAAAATGAGTATTTCTGCAAGTGTCATTTCTTCCTATCAACAACGATGGGTGGGTTAGTAATCTACCAATCTCTGAGTCATCTGAGCTTTAGATAAATTCAGCAAGTAATCCACCCATGCTCTCTCTCCTCTGCCCTGTACATGCTTGTGCCCGAGCACCTAGGATACAGGGCCGGGCAATGAGTCAGCGAGTGCCTAATGAGGGTTTGAGGAATGAAAGAGGCCTCCTTCCCTCACTATCCCCAGCCTCAGGTTTCAGCCCTGCCCCTGTCCCTCTGCCCCAGTAAAACAGCAGCCACAGCCCAGTCGGAAAGGTCAGTTCTATTTTATTAGTTCTAGGAGAGAAGACTCACCCAATGATCTCTCCTTTTTCCCACACTATGCCCTCACCCTACCTTGGGACCCCGTTCCCACTATTCACCATCCTTTGTCTAATCCTCCTTCCCCTTCTACTCCCTATACTGCCCTATCCCTGACCAGCCAAGACCCCAAGGCCAGGCCCTCAACCGTGGGGGCGCGTGCTGAGTACCAGGCAGAGGGAGCTGAGCCCAGCACCTGCCTTCTCCAGTTCAGAGCAGGACACAGGGACCAGGGTGACATCAGAGAGCTTCTGCAGTGCCTGCAGGGAGGACATGGGATGGGGAGATGGGAGTGAGACAACCACACACCCCTTGCAGCCAGATCAGAACGGTCCCACTCAGGCTTCCAGGTAAGGACTCCCTCCCTCCTCCTCCTAGGAAGGCCTGAGATGCCTTTCTCTGGTGGTGGTTGGTGGAGCTTCTGCCCTCCCCCCCTCACCTCCTGGCTGTTGGGCAGGTCCCCCCCTCCACGGTGCAGGAGGAAAGGGGGCACACCAGGCAACCCAGGACGCAGAAAGAGACAGTCAGCGGCTGCATCATCTGGGAGGGTCAGGGAGGCGTAGGGGTGGTCCGTCAGCACCGCCATGGCCTGGTGTAGAGGAAAGAGGCAGCATTCAAGTCCCAGAGCCTCTGCACCGGGGCCTGGCTGCCCTCCCAGGCTGAGTGCTGGGGACTGTTAGTTGGTGAAATAATCAGGACACAGCACATGCTGGGAGTCACTCTGCTAAGCGCTTGAGTTACCTGTGCTAATTTCCACCTCAGGTTCACATGCAGTTCTTCCACTGCAACCCCTTGGCCCCATCTCCCCTTCTCTGGCCCCCACCTATCGGCCCCAACCACCCTTCAAATCACAGCTCAGGTGCCCGCTCTGGGGATTTTTGGGAGACCGTGTAAATGTAAATCGACTGTTCTCTGATCTCCATCGCCCTGCCCAGTTATACCTACTGGTTTTCTCGCGTGTTTTCACAGGTGAAAGGCGCCCTGAGGGCAGGCGCTGGGGCTCATTTTCGGAGCCCCACCCCCACCCCCACCCATAGCCACGCCCACGTCCCTGGGCCGTG